GCCTATCAAACTCATTTATAATTTGCCGGAAATGAACCCAGAGAGATGAATGAACTCTGCTGTGGTTGTAAGTTCACAGCAAATCACTTATTATATTATCACTTACTTATTATACCCGCAGCACTCACTTGTGGGTATTCAGAATTAACTGGCATAGTTTCTTTAGCTTGTGTTGCCAGCACAGTGGTTGCCATTTAAACTTTGTACGGGGTGTTGGGTTAGAGTTACGTGAAGGAAGTGACAATTTCATAGACTGGATTTTATGGTTGTAGGCTAGGAATTCTGGGATTTAATGGATACGACTAGGATAAAGAATCCAGACATCATTATGGATAGGATATATGATATGGATTAGCGTCAGGGATTGAGTTAAAAGGGTTCAGGATTTGGCATAATGGGATATTGGGTTGATTAGTTTAAGGAATCAATGGACATGTCTGAATACGGGCGTTTCATAATAGTGCACCACCAATGCGCGTTTGGAAAGGGTCGACAGTTTTCACGCACTTTGATTGGTCAACGCCGCGTGGCCAACTCTTAGAGGCGCACTATTGTGAATCGCCCGTATTGCTCCATTTCGGACAATAACGCGTTCTTTATGAAATAATATTTTGAAATATCATTAAAATATGACGTACACAACCATCCCCGTAAAATGCACGATCGTTGAGGTAAGGAATTTCGAGATTTTCATTTTCGAAATCCCAACAGTTGGAGTGGTAGTCGGAATTTCATGTAACCTTTCAGTTACGTTCACACAACGACTGTTAGCTCGTCACTATGAAGTCTTTGTTGCACCGTCGATGGGCTGAAACTGTCTAATTTTGTTTTATTATATGATCACAGTTTTGCAAGCGGGAAATGGAAACTTGCCTACCGTTGGGGGCGTCCGTCGCCTGACCTTGTTGGAGCTCATTAATAAATGTTCATTCCTCACCCCAACCTTACTTATCAATAAAATATTCGATCTTTTAACCAATCAATAATTATTTATTCTTTAACCTAACCACAATCGTCTCTATCGATAAATCCCCAAATCTTCACCCCAATCCTAAACCCGACCCAACTCTATAAACTGCTGGATTCCTTCAATCCTGTCAAATAAATACCCATATAATCGTATGGATGAAATTCTCGCTTCCTTAACTTAATAACAACCCTGTCCAACTTTCTTTCCTTTTCTTCAACCTAACTCACGTAATAATTACGTGTATTTGGTTCCAAATTCCTTACCTAACCCTACACACCGTGTAGGAAACAAGCGCATACCTCCTGAAGTTTTGAGTCAGGGAAGGTGAAACGTAAGGAATGTGATGGTTAGCCCCCCCCCTTCAAGTCCCTCGTACTCTTTGTAGTAAAAAAAATGAGCAGTTCCGAAGAGGTCAGACTTCCACCTTCAAATTGCTGTTTTCTGTGACCAGGGACCTTGTCAATGTTGACCGGTTCGATCAACAAATTTTCTATCATTCAATTCGATCATGGAAAGAATTGCATAATTTATTTCAAGCAGTCACTTCTTGGAGCTGAAACTCCAAGAATCTATCCCCAGTTCTCTTTGCAGTATAAATTTCTGGGGCATTTCCGATGGGGCTTGGTTTCTCAAAAGTTATTCCCTCTCCATCAAGATTTGTCAGTTTGCTTTGCCTCTGTCCGTAAGAGGCCCGTGACTAGACAGACAAGACACCCTAAATTGATAAAGGCAGGCGACTTTAATATGATTTTGTCCTGCGCAGCTTTCACAGAAAGGAAACGGAGCAACAGAAATCGTGGACTTGTTTTCGGCAATGGTACATTACTAATTAACGACCAACCCACCCACCCACCAACCCACCCACCCACCCACCCACCAACCAACCAACAAACAAACAAAAACCCGGCACAACTGAGCATTACATTTCAGTACTGTTTTTTATTTAAATGGTTTGACACTTGTATATTGAATCACAAAGCACGGCTTTCTTTGAAGCATTTCAGTTCATTAACGATCTTTAATACTACAATAACTAACAATACGATGTCTCAAGTTAAAAAATTTCCTAAAACATTTCGACTGTGAATTTTACATTGCTAACCCAAATATTTATAAAACAAAAATATAACATATGCCAGTTGCCACAGATAGATTTATATCTTTATTTGACGAAAGACAACTTTTGTCTTACACGTACAAACTCACCCACTCAAGGGACTATCGCTTAAACCCAAGTCTTTCAGAGGATACAAGTATGCTAAACAATAATAAACAAACAAACAAGCAAACCATCATATACCCCAGTCGTTTTCTCGATTCTTTTTGGTGAAAAGTCCATCACAGGTGTTTTTAATAGATGAGTGAAACTACGAAGCATTATGTGTTGTTTTTGTTCGATGTAGTTCAGTGATCTTCCACCTAGATTTTTTGTTGTTGCAAAGCTAGCTTTCTTGTGGGGTCGTTTTCAGTCAGTTTAGTGCCTGTCTGCTTCTCTTTCAGGCCAGCAGATGTAAACTTCATTGACAAATGCAACCACTCATAGGCGGGCTTAATGTTGTTTAATTTTTACTCAAGACCTACAAGTACTCAAGAAAAACGGGCATCCACTAAACATACTGTGAAACTCAAAGACATCCATTTCCCCTTCTTTCCTCACACCGCAGCTCGTCTCAAGCCAGAGGCACAAACTTCAAGGGCACAGAGTGTCGAGGGGATAAGAACACACCTTTACCAAGTTCCAAAGTTTGCTAAACATGCAGGGAAAAGAACACACGGAAAGTGCACGAAATATTATCCGGTGACCATTCCAAATGGAAAACTCATCGAAACTACAACTGGTGGACAGACAGGATCTAGTAGAGAAAGACGGTTTGCTCAAAAGTGTTTGCAGTAGCTGAAGGCCCTTTTCCAATACTCGACTTGGGCTCCGTCTCAGGCTTCGTTCCCAAAACCAATCCCCGATTGTGGGCCTGAAGCATTTAAATTAAATTGGATTACTGTAATTTCTTGCTCTCTTGTATCTCATTTGATGTTTTGTGGCACTATTAAACTAATTACTGCGCTTACAGCTTCAACGTCAGCTAGTTAAAAAAAACAGTTGAAGCCTGAGACGGAGCCGAAGTTGAGTATTGGATAATGGCCGAAACATCAGCATTTGAAGTCTTGTATTTTGCGTTTAAGAGCAACTGTTCAGCCCCTGGCCTACATTCCGGACAGATCTGTTAGTTTGGTTTACTGCTAAACTGTCCATCTGCTTCACTTAACAGACTTTGACTGACCATGCGGGTCTTGTATAACATTAATCCAATATTGGTCAAACCTACTGTGGGTGTCACGCACAAATAATCCCTTGCCAGTATGAGAGATTGGGCAGACACCTGAATGCCATTTGCACGCTGCACTTATGTAGGACCCTTCAGAGCTGATATTTACTTGTGGACTCCACATCATATGCAACAAGCTCACAATATTTGAGTTGAGTTCCCAAGAGATGTAATTTCCAGGCAAATGAACACCCTCTCTGGTTCATGAATGGAACCAAAAACTTAACGACAGTCAATGAAAATAAACTCCTCTTGAATATTCATGATGTCTTACCGGTGTGTCTTCAGCCATCTGCATCTTGAACTCTGCCAGGATCCTGGCCAGAGCGATCTTGATCTCGGCCAGAGCAAAGCGGTTGCCGAGGCAAGATCGAGGCCCGTCACCAAAGGACAGGAATGCATCCATGTTGAGACAGTTGTTTTGAGCTGAAAACCTGTGCGGAAAACAAAACTGGATGAGAGGTTACAATTATGCCCGTTCTACTGGCACAAAGAGGGGAAATGAAAGACGAGCTTCAACTTCAAAGTGACCCCGCAGCTGTGACAGAAAGAGATGGACACTGTGATGCTTCTGCTACCATGAGCCCACGACACGCCTGATGGGGACACCGACTCATTTTTTGTTTACATTCAGATGAAAATGATCCCCACAACCATGCACTTTGTGCCACGTTCTTGGGAATGAGAGTACATGTGACACACACGAGTGCTGCTCATGACAGCCTGATCCAGTGTGTAGTCACCGCCCATTATCCATGTAGAGCACAGGCGGCAAATGCCTCTAGGCAAGAGCAAAGTACAACTGACACAGGTGCATCATAGAGATGGTGTGCTTCCTGTTACCCCACTACACTGTAATGCAGTTGGATAATATCTTTTTACTGCCAGGGGCAAAACCATGCATGGTACCTTCACTGCATCTTTTGAACTGAAGGGAAATTTGACTGGTCTCAGTGTTTCACTAACTTGTGAGATCTTTCCTCTGAAGAGGAACTAATTAGTCACATTCCACCACGCTTTACCAGTGATAATTAAGAAGTGCCAATTAGCATCCAAAAATGATCAACTCACCTGTCTGGGTTGAAGGTCAAGGGGTCAGGCCAAAGCTCAGGGTCGCGATGGATGGTCCAGATGGGCACAATGAATCTTGTTCCTTTCCTGATGCGCATACCTTGCAAGGAGGTATCTTTCGTACATTCGCGAGTCACCCTGAATCCGGATTTGAAATGACTCATTAATCATTGCTTCTTGTTATTTATTTCTGGTAAAGGATTCCTCAAATAGGGCCTATGCCCATAATATACATGTAGTATAAAGCTCACAAGTCTGGCTATTAATAAAAGATCGCTAACATTTTGTTAACCTGCAGAAGCAGACAGGGATTGGAAATGCATTGCACATGCCTGACTGGGTAGCATCAAGCTTGGGTCTCAAGAAGGTGAATAAAGTACTTCCGAGCCAACCTGTCTCCTTATTAATGCTTGAGTATCTGCTCAATGAAGGAACAAGAGGTGGCATGATTTTATTTTCGAATGGTGTCCTTTACATGGGAACAACAGCACATGCATGGACAGGTTCGTGCATGTTTGACGCAGGACTGGCTGAGCAAGTGCAGTAATTATTAGAGAAAGGCACAGTCTTTACGCGTGCAGGGCAAGCCAAGTTGGAATTTGCTTCCATCAGCTGTCACATCTTTGCCGGTGGGGCAGTGGCCACAGTCAGTCCGCATCATGAAAGTTACCTGGCAATTGGCGGGTATAGTCGCAGGGCTTCGATCACCACCTTATCCAAATACGGCATCTTGCTGATCAGCTCAAAGGTCACCTTGTGAGATCCTGAACCTCCAATAGTTGCTCGGACCTCAGAGGCTAATTTCTCTTGGACATCTGGATGACAGGCTAGCAGGTATGAAGCAAAGATGAGACAGGCTGCAGTAGTCTCGTATCCAGCAATCAGAAACATCACACACTGAACATCAAAATGGTGAATTGTAGTTAAAAGTAGATGCAACACTGTGAATATCAAATTCTAACAAAGACTTTCCAGAGAAAACTTCTTTTTTAAGGTAAGGGTGACTTCAAAATGTCTTCAGCCAGTTTAAATAAATGGCAGATCACTCCAAATCAATGTAACATGTCAGTAGTTTCTCAAAACGGCACAAGAAAATGTAGTCCTTGGTTACCTGGGCAACCACTTCATCTATGGACAGCTTGACCTTTTTCATGCCCATCTCCATTGGTGAACTCTGACACCATCCCTCCTCGTCTTCATCTTTGTGAGCATTGACCATAGGCTGCATGAAGTCAACAGAATCCCCCTGACAAGCCACACAAATGAGACAGGAATCAGCTGGTTCATATGTTTGTTCAACATAGGATTGTACGTGTAATTAATTCCCATTAATGAAACAACTGGTTCCTTTTTGATCTCATTAGGTTTTGTTTTGGCTTAGTAAGCTTATTTTGCGCCAATAGTTACAAGATGCAAGTGCTCTGCCTTCTGATCATAAAAAGGAAATTTTGGGCTGAAGTGTGTTTACAATGCTGTACCATCCAATAAAATATACAAGAGTGTTGTTTCACCTGCATACGTCCTTCTTTTCTCTTTTTAAAGAGGTCAGCAGACATGTCAAAAAAGAAGTTCTCACTCTCTTGAGACACCAGGCCAATGTCAAAATATCTGATGATGGCATAAGGTATGTATTCTGCGGGAGATCGAATAAATATGCCAGAATCAGGACTGTCATTGTCAATTTTTGTCACAAGAATTGATTATTTGAAAAAGAAAGGTTAGATGTAGCAAGTTTTAGCGACATTTTACTAGAATCTGGAAAATCAAACAAAGCGAGGCTTCATCAGTGGAGGTGAATTAGGAGAAAGTTTGAAAGCCGTTTTGAAAACACCATACATGTACATGTTTCTCAGGGACTAAACTGGCAGTTATTCACATTTCCCACTTTGAAGTCCAGTTGTTCTATCACCAGGACTATGTCGTCTCTCAGAAATGGCTGGCCAAATTCAACCCATACTATGCCTCCGTCATCAGCCTGTGATGGCTTTCGAGTACTCACTCTGGAGAATCTCTATCAGCAGCCACTTGGTGGATTTCAGGCGCGAGAAGAAGTCCTTGGCATTCTTCTCAAAAGCCGCCAGGGTAAGGCTCTCGTCGTCCTCCGAATGGCTATGGAGTTGGAGGCCAAAGCCAGCCACACCTATGCAGCAGATGCTGAATGCACCATACAACCTAAAAGACACAACCTAAGACGGCTTGGTGCTTATACTGAGTGATCTGAGGGAATAAAAACTCTTGCAAATTCCAGTCAAGCTGCCATGTCTAATACAGAGAAAGTTAAGGTGTAGCTGCAAAAAATTTTCTTAGACACAATTTTTCTTCAACTTTGTATCCTTCTACAGTGTTTGAAACTCCTTTTCATTCCTATTTGGTTAACTGCAAAGGTTTTTTGTTCGAATTGTCAACCCATAATTTACTAACTGAAAACATTTCTGAAATATTTATTGCTCTGCAATAGAACAACAACAAATCAGCAAGGAGGAGAAAACCGAGTCCAGGAAAATCTACAAAAATGCACGACTTTTTTGTGTACAAACCAATGAAACATTGAGGCTTTCTTCTTGGGATGACATCGCAGTTTTGCTCATGAATATAGAAATACTCGTTAGCATAAAATCCCAAAGGGCAGTAAAATTCCCTTTAAAACAGTGAAGCATAAGAGGAAAATAAGATTATCTGACACACAAAGGCTCATTTTGAAGGTTTGTATTAAAACAAAGTGATTGCAGCTACCCTTCAAGTATTAGACTTGTGGTATCTTTTTAAGTGTGAGTTGATTCCAAGTGATGTTGACAAATTATATTTGAAGGAAACAGTCGCACAACCAGTCCTGTTCTGTGTATGATTTTTTATTACAAACCAAATGCTTGAGAGCCATTCCTTTGAAAGAAGCACTGTTCTTGTATGTTTCCCAATGCCATCAAAATCCACATTGTTTGCTTAGTTTTCATAGATAAAGGATGGGTTCCACTGCTAGATCTGGACCAATGAAAATATGCAGAACTGAGGAGGGGTGAAGATGGTTCCACTGCGAATTCTACACAGAGATGATGATTAAATCTGCAGGTAATCTTACTCCTTTATTTCTACCGTCTGTCCATCCTTTGTGCTTTCCCGTAGCTTCTGTAGAATAACTGCTTCAGTGCACTCATTCAGCGTATGTGCCATCTTCAACAAAGAACGAAGAGTTCAAATCGGTGACATGAAATGCTGGGAATCAAACTTTTTTTCTGTCGCTTTAGCACGTGATTTGGAGTGCAGTTTCTGTTACTATGGAAACTATGCAGAACTTGTGTCTGCTTGCCATTCTCGGCCACTGTGAGCAAAAGATCTCTCTCACTGGACGCCGTCTTTGTAGGAAACTTTTAACTGTATGCACAACGCCAACAGGTGTGTTTGTGTACGGCAAGCAAATGTTATGTGCGTGTGGTTTGTAGATCCAAATATCTTTGAAATACAGCACAGTTGACAGGTTATCACAAACATTTGAACTCTAACAGGCTGATGTACATGACAGTCTCTACGAAGAAATGCCTTTTTAGAGATCCGTAACATTTTCCTCTTGGTTAATTTCTGAAAGATACCCCCAAACCAAGTCGATGGCTTGGAAATGCAACAATGATGGCCCGGGGCAATCATGTCTGTCCGAAAAATTTTTTTTCGTGTCATGAGCTTCGTAAGGGGTGGTGAGGGTGCTTGCCAATTTTCCCCTCTTCTAAAAACAAATTGGAAAATAATAGGAGGGGGGGAGGTTGGAATGAAGGAAATAGTATAGCAGAAGATATTGGATAGGATCACCACTTTGCCTGAAAATATCTTGGAACTGACCCTTTTCCACTAGTAATGTTTTGTTGTTGTTGACGTTTTGCTCCCCTCAACCAGAGAAAATCTTGGCCAGGCAAGACCATGATTTGTGTCAAATGTTTCACGAGTCAAACATTCGGAAGGGTCAGAGGTGCGAATCTTGTCACTTTTAATTTGTGCAGGCCACTGGACACTTGCAAATGGCTAACTGAATTTGTCATTCCAAACATTTGTCTCATGACTTACAATGTCAGGGCCAATAACTTCCATGGATCTAGAAAGCAGATCAGTAAATTTAAGTGCTGAGCATATTAAAAGGAAGGACCCATCAGGAGCAATATAAATCACATGGTCTTCTGGCCAGTAAGCTATTTTTTCATGATATGCTGGTTCGTGCTCAGCAAAGTGCTGCGCTCATCATCTCCAGCCTTAACCTTGGAGGCAGAGCAATGTCCATGAATCGAATCAGTTACATGGGTGAGGTTAAATGTGTCAGCCCAGTGCAGGAAGAATAAAATTGAGCAGTGCATTCGCAATTACCAGTTTGATCTTGGACGCTGTGAACATTGGTAGGATCGTGTGCCGCGTGCTCCTCCACTGGTCACCCCGCAGGCCTATCAGCATCTTTCTCAGTCGGTCAGACTGGACAAATTGAGAGGCCTGGTTTGATATGAGAAATTAATCCATCGATGTCATTGACCGTGGCAATGAGTGAATTGAAAAGATTCAGGTTAAAACCGACATGTAACCATAAGGTGCTGTGCCTGGGTACACTTTTTATTCCCTGTTGGCCCCATAAATAATTGGTCTGATTATACTCTAGAATAGAACAAAAGCCTGGAATTGTAAGCCTAGCAAAGGACTGGCCAGCTAGCAGTTCATCCATTCATCTTTTCTTTGGTTTTCAGTACGCAGTGCATTGTTTCTTTCTAAATGCAATCAAGCACTTATCCCAAGGAGGGCAGAGCCCACACTGTGATGGTGGTTGAGGTGTGGCCATTTTTGCTGTTCATCAGCAAATCCAAGGATCCAGCATGAGGGTCGTGCCGAGTTGTACAGCCTTGCAGTTGCTAGGATCCCATTTCCTTATTTCCCCTCGGTTTTTGTTTTGGGTTTCACTTATCCCCTGATTATGAACAGTTCCTCTACCACTCAGCACCTTGCTTTTAAGTACATGTAGGTTCTTCCCTTTACCAATAAAGTGACATTTTCCTAGACCCACACGCTGTGGTAACGCAAAGCAGGGCATGGACTGGATAATAACACAGACACAAGTGGTACGGTGTTACGGTGCTTGGTCCTGCTGTCATGTTCCACACAATGTATAGAATGCCAACTGTGCACACTGAAGGGTGAGGGACAAAGGTCATATGAATATGCATATACAATGTACACCGCACTTTCCCATGCAAAAGGCAAACCGGTATGTTTACTCCAGTCTGTCTCTGGTTCCTAGTGAATAAGAAAACTGAACCACTGACTGTCAAATCTATCTGGTTCGTAAGTGACTTCGTCACAGAGGCGGATGCGCCATAATTTGCAGGCTCCCATTGGACGATTGCTGAAGTTGCATGTTAACTTCCGGTTCCATGGTTCCGTGTAAATGGTGATCAATGCATGTAACTCTATGTGCAGTGCCTGTGCAGTGGGCATGGCTTAAACTGAAGTGACGTCACACTTACGAAGTTGACTTCCATATATAACAATTACTGCAAGTACTGATTTGTTTATTTTCACACGTGCTACACATATTGATCACACACGGTTGCAATCATTTCCCAAAAATATTATGACGCCATCTTGAGGGATTCACTTTATACTTTGGCTAGTTCTGAAATGGCTGAGGCAAAGCCATATGTTGGGCCACTGCCTGAACGGGAAGCCCAGTACAGCCTTAGTTGCAGTTAATGGCAAATCTCTGTACTGACACCATGTTTAGTCATCTTTATCCCCACGGCTAGGCTCTGTAATCCTGATCTGGCTACTGCATTGTGGGGGAATTCAGGAAAGCGCCTTGAGCAGGGAAAAATTCTCTAAGCCTCTTGGGCTGTAGCAGCTTCAAACACGTAATTTGATGCTGGAAAAAGATTAAAAAGTTGTGACTGTGTAGTTGTGAAAATGAGAAGCTGTAAATTAGTTTAGAGTATGATGACCCTAGAATGTGCCCTGCCAGGTAACCATGGTAACTTACCCCTCGATTCAGAAAGCTGCTGAAATTCTTCACGAGAAGTTGCTTGATCATCTTCACATCAGCTATCAAGAGTGTCGGTCCCCCAACTGAGAAGAAGCTATAATTGAAGGTATTAAAAGAATACCATATGCATTCCGATGTCTGGTCTGAAATTAGTACTGGGAATCTTGACAAACTTCAGTGAATAAGTGGACAGCAGAGGCCACTTGTAACCTAGTCTTAACTGAGTTTGGATGGTCATTTCCTTAAGATGTGAACGGGGGGGGGGGTTCCCAATACCCAGCTTCATCTCCCACTCAGCTTCACTTGATTTTTGTTTCACTTGTTTACTTGGCAAAAAGTCAGACAGTGCGGGTGGAAAATTTAACTACATATGTCACAGTACTAGATATTGAAGTGTTTTTATTCAACTTAAACACGGTTGGCCCACATGCGGGGATCAACTTTAGAGACAACGCATGCGGTGGAGACAAACCTGAGCACTGAAAAACCATCCCTGACCAGTACAACTAAATCATGTGATGATAGAGGGCACTATCAAAAGCTGAACCAAATCCGGCCTTGATGGATTTGCTACCTACTTGAGATTTTCTGAGCATACCCATATATAATGTTTTGTGGTGAATAAAGGGACATCAACAGTAAAAAAAAAATTAATTAAAAAATGCATTACATTATTTCAAATTTCTTACCCCATCACTTTTCCATATTTTGCAACCCACTTCTGTTCACAGATGTAGAATGCCTGCAGAAAGTGAAGACAAAATGATTTATAGCGTGAGCAGAATTTGGTTTCTGGTGCATACACTGCACATAAAATTTATGTTGACTTTTCATTAATAAACTCAATGACACTAGGCCTACTATACATGTACAGGTTATAGGAGCATGACCCTTGCAAGCACTTGAATCTGGAAACTTGGAAATTCAGGTCTACAGGCAAGACGAAGGTAGAGTGAATGTTTTTCTCATTATGAAATTCATAATCATCCATTTTACACCGTTGAGTCTTGCAAAGAACCATCACAAGAGCAGATGCATGCTCAGTCACATTAAGACCAGTCACAAGTAACAGACTAACTGTGATAACTGGAAGCTTTTGTTGCAGCCCATTAAAACAACTTGTGACAAAACTTCATGATTCAGGAAGTTGGGGTCTCAACGGTTCATGTCAATCTTGCCATGATCTCAAGGGTCCTTATCTTAAATTTGAGGTATTGTGATGGTCTTATGGGGTCTTGTAATGGTCTGTGGGGTCTTGTGGTGGTCTTATGGGGTCTTGTGATGGTCTTATGGGGTCTTGTGTTGGTCATATGGGGTCTTGTGTTGGTCTTATGTTGGTCTTATGGGGTGTGGGATGGTCTTATGGGGTCTTGTGATGGTCTCATTGCGTCTTGTGTTGGTCTTATGGGGTCTTGTGATGGTCTTATGGGATCTTGTGTTGGTCTTATGGGGTCTTGTGTTGGTCTTATGGGGTCTTGTGTTGGTCTTATGGGGTCTTGTGATGGGTTTACGGTATCTTGTGATGGTCTCATACCACCCTTGGAGATCATATCTTGAATTCAGTTTGGAAGTCTTGGGATGGTTGAATGGAGTATGATTACCCGTAGTAGGTCTTGCCTGGAATACAGTAAGGAGGTCTTGTGGTGGCCATTTTATGGTGTTATGGAGTCTCATGGTGGTCTTAAGGGGTCATGACCAAATAAAACAACACACAGCATGTAGGCTCAATTACCTCCTTTGACCTTTTGATGTTTGCGTAGAATGGTATGGGTAAAGGTCCGGGAATCCCACTCCTAATGAATTGAGTGTAGTACCAAACATTGTACCTGTAATGAAGAAAACACATTTATGCACAACCTATGCAAAATATAAAAAATGTGTCAAACAACACCATTTTTAGTACAAAGGGGGGGGGTTCATCGCCTGCGCGCTAAACCCCCTCCCTGATCAAACACAAGAAGGTTAATCCCCCCACACACCACCAATCGCCACCATGAAATGCATGAGATTCTCTTGAATGATATTTATAAAATCAAAGCTACTAAAATTGGCATTGTGAACACGATGAACAGTCGAGGGAACCGAACTCCGAATTGATGATTGGTTAGGCCCGCCACCAAAGTTTTCACAACGTGGTGAAACTTTAGTCATGTTCGTTAGTTCCAAATAATAACGGGGAAACATGTCTCAACGAAATTCTGGTGCCATCTACATTACCCAACCAACAAGGCAGCCGCAGTGCCGATGCAGTACCACCATGAAATCCCGAAACCTGATGAGGGGAGTGTCGAGATGTCTTCTTCCATTGTGGAATACAAATTTTGACGTGTCTAGCGGCACGTACATATTCTCCGTACGTACATGTACAGTGTACACAGTCATGCCACAAGGTCAAAAAATAATCAATTGAGCATGAACAGTTCAGCGTAATTCAAGGCAAGGTTGTTCTGGCATCCGTCTGACCATCATGGAGCTACAAACCAGCCCAGTGAAGGACATGCACTCAATACGAATGACTCGTGTTGTGTGCGTTAGCTTGGCAATTATGGGTGCAGTCCACTAATTAAATTAAAATTTCTTGCCAGTTCCTCAGCATCAGTGCTCCATTGACAAAGAAGATTGTATAGCCCCTAAGATGGTAAGATTGTGTGAATCTTTGCCAGAATCAACTCCCTGGGTCTTTGGGCTTTCATCTGAGAGCAGAATGGCTAAAAATTATGGTTGAAAAATGGTCCTTAATTAGTGCCCGCGAAAGTTGGGGCTTGTCACGTAAAAAAATGACTGCAAGCACAAGCAGACTTCGGGAAAAAAAAAATCATTTTTCAGGGGGGGGGGCGTAATTTTGTTTTGTGGGAATAACTCAAAATGTATCAGTTAACCCTAAAAAATTGAAAAGAAAGTGAAAGATGAGGGACCATACAAAAATTAACGTGTGCCGTTTCAGATATCTCCGTCAGGGATGTCAGTACGCATGTAATTGTACCTTGCACAATGCTGAGTTTACACTGTGGGGCTTGAATTAGTGGACTCGACCCTATAGGCAGACTATGTGCCCTGTGTGGCAGAACTGAGAAAAATAGTAAAGAAAGAATAGCCGCAGCCGTCCGGCGCCGGCGGCCACACCACTGCGTTTATCTCTGTGAGCCACACAGTGTCACAGAAGGGCTCTCCCAAGGGCCGAGCTCCGCCAGCACATTCTCAGGCTCGCATACCGCTGGGTGATATCTTGAAATCGATTTCAAGATATCTTTAAGTCGATTTCATTATGTCTTGATATTGTTTCCAAGATATCTTTAAATCATTTTCAAGATATCTCTCAATCAATCCGAGATATCTCCAAAGCATTAACCGATAATGCATGACCGAAACGGAGTGCTTCTGAGGTCATTCGGGAATAATTAACAAATACGAGTGCTCAATATTAAATTTTACCCAATAAGAGCTGTCATTCTTCACGGCCAATCCTGCTTTGTTCCCGAATGACCTGGCATAGCACTGAACTGACTCATATCTTGAAAGTGACTTAGAGATATCTCAAAATTGATTTAAAGATATCTTGAAATGGATTAGAGATATATCGAAATGGATTTCCAGATATCTGTGGTTCGATCTCAAGATATCTTAAATCCTTTTGTCAGATATCTTAAAAACAGTTTACAGGTAAATTCCTTGACAAAACCTGTTTAAAACCAAAATTCACAGACACGATGCACATCTTCTGAAGCTACAGCAACACTCTTCTGCACCGATCTTTATCATGACAGTATTCATTGCACGCGCAGACCCAGATCACGGAGCCGGCGATAAAACTGTTTTATAGCTCAGTGATCAGATGGACAAAAAAAAAAAAAACCATCACAAATACGAACTGAATACATTATCCTAAACATCCAGGTAAATTCCTTGACAAAAACTGTTTAAAACCAAAATACATAAACATAATGTACATCTTCTAAGTCCTTTTTTTCGTATTTTTTCACATTGATCTTTATCATGAAAGAATAGTAAAGGTAGACTTTACGTCATTATTATTTTTGTAAGGCCTTAAGCGTAGAAATACGAGTTTCGCATACAGGTACCCAATCAAAACAAATCAATGCCCAAACCCATATTTTTGTTGTCGGTGAACATTATGGACATTATTTCCAGATTAACAATGTCAAAACATAGAGGAAGGACACAGAAGGAGTTTGAATTGCCCGGGCTATAACATCTGAGTGGCCGATTACCACTTTCTGGCATGCCCGGTATGTCCACAGCCAGAGTGCAGCGCACGCCTGCTGCCCACCACCTGTTTTGCAACCATAAGCTCCCTTTGTACCCCATGATCACCGCCGCAATTTTTCGTTGGTAATCTGCATCCCTAAAACGTTGTCTACTGCAGTGTAGGAAGTTGAATATTCATACCATCGTTGGTGCTTGGTATGATCCGACAACATCATCAAATGTAGTGTTTGCGCAGTTGCTTTTATTAGGCTGTATACCCGAAGTGTTCATGTGCAGTTGTTGCACTTATCGAACGCTTTCTTCTGGATTTCTTTTAGGAATAAATAGCCAAGCTGTTTGTAAGATTTTGTGTTTTGTTTGAATCATTTTTATTATGCCGTTTGTACAAAGGCGTATTTTATATGAGATTTCACGATCACTCTCTGTGATAGCGTGTTTTGTTCTTAATGAACTAAGCTTTCCAGTAGTAGTGAACATTTTGTTGGCCAGTCTTAGCCAAATTCGTTCCAAGTCTTTGACACTGATGTATATTGGACGGAGGAGACTAGAATTACAAACTTTGCATGGATAATGAAACAGTGTGTCAAAATTAAAAAAGTTTATTTATGATGGCAAAAGTAGGTCTAATATCAGGAATTTTTCTCTCTCTATTTCCTGGTCACATCGATAGTTTGTATTTAATTGCAAGCAAAAAACTGCAAGTATTGCCAGGATATTACTGGCCCTGCTTGTCTGGCTAAGATGCAGGCAGCAATAAGGCATGTTTGGAATATTTTCTATTATTCGTCAGACGCGGCGGCGACCATTGGACGCTTTGAAGTGCCTGAGTTACAACTCCTTCTGTGTCCTTCCTCCATGGTCAAAAGAATGTGCGTAACATGCGAATTTGTTTCTTCCATTAAAAACAATACAAAAAATTCACTATTACTTGCAAACCCCAAAGCACGATTTACAAACTGTTAATAATCATGCTTATGTTCGAGCATACATGTTCAACAAACCCACAACTTCTGAACGTATACTCACCACCCCCGTTCCTGTAGCAGAGAAAGGGAAATCGCCACAAGTTACCAAGACCCACAGGCAGCCCCAAGCAGGACAGGACAGCACGAAATCCAAGGGGTGTGACCAGTTCCCCCTCTCCTTATTCCCTCTTCCTCCAACTCGACAGCCCCCATCGTCCTCAGTTCTCGACGCCAAGGTTGTCCAAGTTTAAATTTCGGGCTGCTGTTTGCTGCCGTCATTCCGCAGTCTAGTTTACTTGAATTCGTGTACCGTTCCCGTGCACGTCCCGTAGCTGTGTGTGGTTGCGTCGACCCCGGCCAGCTACACACATTCACAAAAACGTGCCTGAAATACCAAAATCATTTCACCATAGGCCCATACCAAGTCAAGAGTGGCAACTGAGAAACCACGTGATTGCACCATTCATAACTAAACATGGATTAAATGTTACGTTTTGGCTGTTATATCTGCTTATAAGCAGATATAACAGCCAAAACGTTCGCGCAGTCTATACGTCGTGTCACGCACGTTTCCCTGGGTTCCATTCAATATGTAGAAATTATTATTTGAAATGGGGCGGTAATTATTATCAGTGTTGCAGTTAAGACCATCTCAAGACCATGCACAAGACCAGTCACAAGTAACAGGGTGAACAGTGACAAAGGAATGCTGTTGTTGCCATTCATTTGAGTTGCATGTGACTTTAATTCAGACTGGAGGCCTTGTATTGGTCTAGCTTGTGCTGGTCTTGTGTGTCTTGCGAAGGTCTTAAGTGGTCTCGATTACAACACTGATTATGTTTTAATTAGGGAACGGAATACAGTATTTCATTTTCAACTGATCTTTAGTTGTTTTTTTTACTTTCAATTTCTTAATTGCAGAAGTTTTTGCAGATCAACGAATATGATAGCCCATTGGCTAAACTTAATAATACCGTAGATCCAGCTGACTATTTTTTTTTTTTTTGGTCTTTTTAGACTCAGTCTATGCAGCGCTATCTACGTCAATCAAACCCCCTAAGATTGGATCAACAGTAGCCAGGAATCTTCTAGTCAAGGAACCACAAAGTTCATAGGTCCGTTATATTAAATAGCGCCCTCTATTGGAAAACCTTAGCTTCTTGTCAATAGATGGCGCTGTTTCAAAACAATAAACGAAGATTTCGTTGTGAAAGTAGTAGCGTCTGCTACTACACTCCAGAGGTTTGAAGTGAGTTGGAGATAAAGGCGATCATCACAGGCGCATGAGCTGACCTATTGTAATATAAAAAACATGCCTCGAAACGGAGGCAAAAAGAAGTGGAAATCGACCAATTTTAATAAGCATGGATATGGATGCGACCGCTCTAAGCAGCCACCGCCATGCACTGGGGCCGCCAAGCCAACCCCGGGGTACGACCAGAAAATACAGGCAGAGGCTCAGGCATTATTCGAAAAGAAATTTGCTTTCAAGAGACCGACAGAAGGTAGTGATTGGGCGTTGCCACCAGCCGAGAGTCTGTTTAGTTCAACAGTCCTCAAGGTAGGCCTACTACACAACTGACAATCACAGTATCGATACACCTGTTGCCAGTACCACTCATGAGCATAATGACTACATGTATCACAAGGCCTTCATTTCGGTGACTTTGACTTTGTTGGGGGGGGGGGTGAGGAGATGATTTGCAGGAGCTTGTAGGAAAGCTCCAACTTTTGTTTTCTTTTTTAAAGCAGTCTCGGGCTGTAAACTTGAATTGGAAAGAAGAGGTGAACTGATGGTGAGGGTGGGAAGTAAGACATATTTAGAATAGTTTAATTACATCTCCAACTTTTCACTGCTAGCTGTGCAAGTAGCATGTAAGTTATGAAAGAGATACATGTGAATAATTTCATTTAATTGTAAATACCAAATTGCACCCAGTTTTATCACATTGCAGAAGATTGATTGGGTTGTTGTCTGGTTTTTTTTTTGCACATCAGGACTGGGATTCTACGTTAAATCGATACAAGGAAGAACTGAACGACCTGAAATGTCAACTGAGTGACAAGGACATCCAACAGTGGCACCAGCACACTACGTTCACCCATCGCTCTGCCCTCGTCATGCCACACCTCCGCAGTGACTTCTGGGTAGAGCTGTGCACACAGGTATAAAACCATGGATGTTACAGGCTGGAACAAAACATTCTAAAGAAATACAAACCACAGGCGTGCAGCTGTTCCTCGGATCAGCTGACTTCCTCGTTTTTCTTTCACAATCATGCCATCGAGAATTGAAAAACGCTGCACAAAGTCTTGTAAAGAGTGGAACTTCCTTGTTTTTGTCAAAATCCAAGTTGCACACCTGAAAACAGAATCGGGCGAGCATCACTTGTGTTAACCATTAAAATTCTCAGAAATTAGATTATAAATTCCATATTCTTAATCTTTGAAGTTTCTGTGACTCTCAGTGCATCATTCAGAGTTCTAAATTGCCTAGCTAGTAAATAACCCCCTCTTTTTTTTGTTTGGTTCATTGGACTCTTTTTCACATCAAGCGACAACACTGCATCATTGTGAACAGATTCTAACCATCTAAAGTTTAGCGTAAATCACATAGTTTCCTGTTGAATTTGTAAAGGAGGGCTGCGCTTGTCTCTGTAGTGTTGCATTGTGTCTGGGAGATGCGCAAGATACTTCAAAACTCAACTGAGACTTCAATATTTATTCCACCTCAACAGGCCTGGTGTAAGTTCTACGAGATTGTGTCCAGTTATGATGTCATCCCACTTGACCTGACTGGACGGGAAGGGGCGTGTTTCAACTCTGTCCACTTGTGCGAGGCACCAGGGGCATTTGTGACAAGCCTTAACCATTATCTCAAGAGCAATGCTGGGCTGAAGCACGCAATGTGGAACTGGCTAGCCACCACGCTGAACCCGTACTACGAAGGTAGGGCTTGGAGGGAGTACGTGGACGGGGGGGTGTTCCTGGCCAGTGGTGAAGTGTCACAGTGACATCATGCTTTGCTTACATGCGTGCTTTCTATTGGGAACCAGAAGTGGACGGTGTATTTGAAGTGCCATAGGAAAGTGTACATGAACCAAGCATGACATCACCTGTAAATAGGGCCATAGAATTGAATGCTCGGTAGAGCCTATCCTTATATCGTCCTGAACCTTAGATTGTGCCTAAGATAAGCTTGGCATGCGGAGGGGCTTGGTTCACCAAATGCAAATTTAGAAGACAATTTCCAGTCTTCCCTTAGAACTTGAAAGTCCACTCATGCTCCAGGCAAACACAACAGTGAAGCAGGTTTGACATTTGCCAAATGTTTGTCGGGAAATTTCCTTGTGTTGCAATGTCTTTGGCAGCTCTGGGCCATGGTAACTTGTAGGGATTCGTATTTATGGTCGTTCTTGTGCCGGGTATGAACTGGCCTTTAAGTAGTAAGTGCCATTTATCATGTTTCCAAGATTCTTCCCAAATCTACAGGCACTTCAAATTCACTTAATGTTTCATGTCACTGTGATGCAGGGAACAGCACCGATGCTATGATTGCAGATGATCGCTTCATTCTGCAGACGCAGGATCACTGGTTCTTTGGAGAAGACAACACAGGAGACGTGATGAACGTAGATAACTTAAAGTCCCTCCAGCAACGAGTGAACAACAGCATGGGGAAAGTACAGTTGGTGAGTTTGCCATCACATAGATACCAGTTAGGAGGTCTCTGGTTTGGAGACACATACGGTATAGAATGTTTCCTTACATCAGCTGATCTTTTATGTGATTATTTTTTTTGTGAGAAGAAGCCCCTCTGTCAAGTTGTATCATGCGCTATGTGTATTTCCCAATCAAACAGTTGCCTGCTACAATGGTGGCCGATCTTCCAGAAACCGTTTTGTTGCTTGGTACTTTAGCGTCTTCTGATCAGACTCTGTTTCATTACAAATTTGGAAGTCTTACTGGCGTCCGGAATTTTCGTAGTTTGGTTTGTCTTCACAGTTTTGTGCTTCATTCTCATATGAAAAAACGCTCCATGCTTGTCAGTAATTTTGAAAACATTGTGCAGGTAACGGCCGACGGCAGCATTAATTGTCAGAATGATCCTGCTGAGCAAGAGATGGTGGTCTCCCAGTTGCACTACTGCGAGATTGCGACGGCGGCAACTCTCCTAGCCGACGGAGGCTCCTTCATCCTGAAGATGTTCACGTTGTTTGAGCATCCGACAGCCTGCCTGATGTATTTTCTAAACTGTGCCTTTCGAGAGGTGAGCAGATATTTATGTATCCGGATGTTTAACCCGTCAGCTTATGCGTCAACAAGCTGAGTTTCCTCAGTACTCTCCATTCCCTTGAGAATGCTGTTTGATGTGAACTTGTACATGTGATTTTCTTGTCCAACATGTATTCCTGCTTGTAATTCACCTAGGTTCATGTCTGCAAGCCTGCTACGAGCAAAGCTGGCAACTCGGAGGTGTACGTGGTTTGTCTTAGATTTGTTGGCCAACAGAATCTGGAGCAGTATTTGCAAAGCTTGCTCGGTCATTTTGGTAAGTTTTTCTCAAGAAAATTCAGCGTAAATTCATAACTTCATTTACTAGACTTTTACAACCACGTGATTGACTGTCTGGTGGCTACTCTAATCTGACGGACACATCTATTGACGCCTGAGTATTTCAGCCAGGCCTGCCGCCTTGTAAGGGCTGGCGACCATTTAGACCCAGTTTGAAAAGGCCCCCCGGTAGCCCGCCCTGTATAATGCCTGCCCGGTATTCAGGCTACTCCAGGCCGGTATCAGGCCTGTCTGCACATCGGCATTTCAAAGTCCCTGATGAAAGGCTTCCCGCACCATGCTTCCACAGATGAATAGAGGTCTAAACAGATTAGTGTAAACATTGTATAGAGCTGAAGGATTAAAAACCACAAGCATGTTCCTTCTTGGATAGATTACATGTACCAGTACTTGCAAACAATAGACCCCAGGATGGAGAAGTTCGAGATCAGCAACCAGTCCTGCATCCCAGGCCGGTAGCCAGGCCGGTATGAGAGGGGTTTTTCCAACAGGGCGAGCTTACCGGGGGGGGGCCCTTTTCAAATCGGGTCTAAATGGTCACCGGCTTTAAAGAGAGCCCATATCGTGCGGTGTTATGTAATATTTCATTTGGTCCGAAAACTGGCACAGTGCACTGACGTCTTTTCAGTAGGGGCCAGATTAGCGTACAGCAGTATTGTATCGCCCATCACTGGAGTGCTAGAGCGCTTTTGTCCCCAGTGGTAATCCGCTCGCGCTGAATGCCACAAATAGTGGTATAATCTTTCAAAACAATGACAGACTTCCTCCGCTATTGACAACTGAAAAAATGTAGCTCAGTCTTTTGTTCTGAGTACAGTCTTTTGTTACAAGGTCCAGTTCCCTTTGTCCGATTTCGGGCACCCCGTCTGTGTATCTAAAAGCCAACGTCGCCGAAACCAGGCTCCCCGGCAGCAAGTGGTTAAAATTAGATACCCAGAAAGGATTTGTCCCTACACATTATGCTGGGCTCTGCCTTCGTTAATCCTTCAAAATTCTCCAAAAATCTGATAATGGATTTTGAAGGACCTGACAGGCATAGGATTAGAACCGCGATTGCCAGTTTGTTACCACAAGCTTTCCTTTCACACTCTAATTATAAAAGGGAGTTTTATTAATTTTTGTTTTTTCCATTTACAGGACCAGCCGATTGCCCACAGGCCCTCTTTTCCCCTTCGGACATTCCAGATTCGTTTCTTGATCAGCTTCGCTCCTGTGCTGCCACCTTCAAGACTTACCAGATGGACGCCATCTCAGAGAACATCTGGCTGTACCCGCAAATGTCCAACAAAGAGCGCCACCGTCTGACCCAAGTGAGACAGGCGTGCCAGCAAGCCTACGTGGAACGCTACGCTGTCAAGAACATCAAAAAGGCTGACAAGATCTGCCCCGATGCATTCAAGGTTTGAATCCATCCATCATTTAGATCTTTTTTACAGTTTATATATATATTTGAAAATGCTGAAAGATTTCAATCATTGTCATGGTGCTTAACCCCTTCATACCAGGAGCCGTCCACAGCCGTGGTTTTGTGTCAGGATTGAGTGCGTACCACACATACAGTCTATTCATCATGCAGCTGCTGGTTCAATGGGGCCTGCTGCTGGACAAAGCCCTCCATTCAGGGCATACCACAGCTCAGCAGTCACGGTCAAAAGAATCCGGGCGTGAAGGGGTTAAGAATTCGATTCATTTTGTGTACTTTCACAGACAAACTACCTGAACTATCAGAAATCACTGGTTCCCACTATACTATCATGTCACGCTTATCCAGTTTGCCCGGTATTACTATTCAATTGGCTTATCATCAAATGTGTTACTAATCAGGGCAGGAACTTTCGCGCAAGGGGCATGTTTACCAAGACTGCCAGCAAGAGACTGCATGGAACCTTCATGGAGAGGCAGCAGCTAGACCATGGTCACTGGCTGCAGAGACTGAATGCTGACTACCAGCAGCTTGCCGTCAGTACATCGGGGTCAGAGGTCATTAGCCAGACTCTTCAGGTAGGTGGAGACAGGTTTGAGAGAGAGGCTCTCCACAGCTGTAGATAGATTTGTCCTTAGACTCCAACTTGTGGAGTATGTTTGGAAAACATCTACCCTCCTGATTTAAAGCAATCACTGGAGTTGAGCCTTTCCTTCAACTTTGGATCCACTTTGATTTCAGGTCTAAATGTTTTCATAATTCCAGTCTTAGACAAGTTTTTTTTTATTCAGTTTTATTTGAAATCACGAGACAAATTTAAAGCCTTGGAAAATTTCACAAAATTGTCAGATGTTTTCAACCACATTGCCTGGACACCAATGGGATCTTCTGGAATCTTAGACAATTTTAAACTGTCTTTGTCGTATATCAAACTCATTATACTCCGTATATCAAATCTCATTTCTGACTTGACCTGGCTTTTGTGTTTTGCAGAGTAACCGAGAGTTGATGCCGAGTGAAGTCGGAGATTGGGGTGTGGTCATTGGTCGGAGGCTGACGTCCATTCAAAGTTCGTCGTTCTGTGTGGCCGAAGTCCTTGACGACTGGAACCTAGCCTATACGCACTCTGAGGTAAGTCCAGTTGTGTGGATGGTTGTGTTGGTAGGATGGAGCCTTCTGCACCTTTCGTTTGGTGTGACCATGGACTGAAACCTACCCATCAAGCAGATTGATTGGATTGATTGGATTGATTGGAACTATTACCTGGTTTCCTGGGAACAAACTCTCACACACAAATTAACTTACCCCAACAACTGTCATGCCCCGGACTCTCGCAAGGATTCAAGAAGTTTCAGTTGAACATATTTTGGCAACGGTCCTTGCTTGATTGCTTTTCCTTTGTGGGTCAGTGTGCTTTGCTTTTAAAAGGCCCATCCATTGATTAATTCTTTTCAGAGCATATGCCAGGAGGGGAGAGTTTACTGCTTGTGTGTACTGTCATAAACTTGGAAAAAGTTTGACTGGCTATTATTCATTTCTTTTGTATGAGTTTCTTTGGTCAGTTGAGTCAGTGGAATTTGGACGCTCGTGAAAACTATGACCAAAAATTGGCTGATCCGTAAACAGACTCATCTTTCATATTTCTGCTGCATTTCTCCCCAGGTTGGCAGCGACTGGAAGGAAGAGGACTTGGGCAAGTCTACCAACTGTGATGAAGCTATCGTGGGATTGATGTTGGCCGATTTGACCAACCTTTGCAGGGTGCGTGATGTCTTTCTATAGATCTGAGACTCTACGCATTTCAGTACAATGCGTCGCTTGCAGTCACCGAGTCTTCAATTCAGGGGAGTTCCCTTCCCACCTTAGGCTGGCCTTGTGCTTGTTTAAGTGCAATGAATGGGTTAAGATGAAATGGAGTTATTATTAGACATTGTCAACTTAACAGTAATGAAGAAAATTGGTATTTAATTGGACACGTTTACCATTACTGTTGATCAAAGCACTTCATTGTCTCTTGCAAATGGCTAATCAATCACGGTAATCATCTCTACCCTCACAGGGAGCCAATTTATGGAGAGAGACAAATTCAAATGAAGTGACTTGCCCAAGGACACGCTTTTTCACCGGTTGCTGGATTGGAGCCCTGACTCATAGGTCAGGAGTTACAAACCCTGACCACTAAGCTACACATTTCCAATTTTTCTGGTTTTTCACTTGTGCAGAGGACCGTGTTATATGTACTTCATTTTATGAAGTTTCTAAAGTCGGATCCTGACAAGCACTCACACCACAGCAGTACATGTCTGTCTGTGCTTTCTCCCTTTGCAGATTGTGAGGACCAACTCTGCCGTAAATTGTCTGTGTCTGCTTACACGGAGCCAAGAAACATTCCTGCAACTTCTCAACACATCAGAGCATTGGAGCCTCAAGGTAAGACTTGAATCGTTGTCCATTCTCTGTGGTTTACAAAATGCCACAATGTAAATAATGTTTCACCACAAACAAGTGAAAACCCTTTTTACTAGATGTAAACACAGGGTGGCCTAATGGTAACTTCTCATTGAAAATGAACAAGAATTTCAAAGATGTACAGCGTGTACAAGATGTTGATGTCTTTATCAACATGACAAATTTTGTCAAATCTGTTCATACTATTACAAGAGTTCTAAATCAAACCTCCTTGTCAGAAGTGAGACAGTTTTTGAATTTTGAATTGCATATGTAAGCGATGACTTGAATCTCATCTCATACCCCTAGGAATGCCAAGTGGCTGTCACTGATGCTGGTGTTGACGTAACAGTGGTAGAGACAGGACAAATGACAGATCCCGTTCAAGGCGAGAGCGAGTCCAGTACGGCATCGACCCTTGGCATTCCACATCTCAGAGATTGGACCGTCGTGAGCCAGTACGAATCATGACAATGATAGATGTTTACCTTTCTACTGTCTTGAAATGAGGAAGAGTGTAATGACCTGTCTGATTGAGAGCGCACTCTCGGTTACTCATGGGTTGTACTCTGTCATTAAAGCACTCATGAGTATACTCATGTTAACATGGATTAACACAGCCACTGAGTTTGAACATGATGGAAATGGAAATGAACCGATTCATGCATGCAGTGTTTCTGCCCCTTGGTATGTTGTTAGGTAACAAATCCGTAGTGACAAAAGAGGACTTTAAAAACCAAAATCACAAGTTGCCTTGGTTTTGTCTGGATGGAAATCGTTGTTGTTCTGCCTTTCCACTTTTTTCTAGGTGTTCTGTGACTCTTCAAACTCACAAAGTGCCTGTGGTGTTCTCAGACTGCTTCCTCGGAGTGGAGGGGTCAATTTCTGACAGGAAACTGGTGCCGGAGGAGCTGGACACCAGACTTCAGTCACTGACGTCTGTCCTGTTGGCCATGAATGTGAGTAATCGTCTTAGTTTGTCTGTTGGTTGTTGAAGTGTTTTTAAAGTTAATTTGACGAAGTTCTCATTTGGCTTATTTATCAGATATTTGGGGAAAAATGAGAGAACTTTTCTCGTATTTATTTTCTAAAATTGAACTATTTAGGGCCTTCGCATTTGTAATCCGACAAGTAAACAACTGTTGGCCAGAAATTTATTTTTCTGCCTTTTGACAGGCTTTGCAAATTGGCGGTACCTTGATTTTGTTTGTTCCTGGGATTCTGACGCGATTCTCCGCTGGATTGCTGTACATCATTCACAAAACTTTTCAACAGGTACTTCAGAAAAGGCTTTCATTTTTTCAATTGCAAATTAAGTTAGCCTTGTCTTAAAATTCTGGCAAGTGTTGGAAAAAATTCCTTTTGATTGGATAACAGTGCATTCCAAGAATACAGGCAATTCCTACGAAAAACAAAAGATTACTCAGAAAAGAAGGATATGTCTCCCATGTTATCAATGCAAATAGCCAGGTGTTTGTCGGCTGTACTTTGGCTCAAGCACAGAAGTACAGACAACTGCTGTTGTTTTCTTCTTGCCTCCCCCAAAGGTAACACTGATGGCTGACATTGTTGACAGGGCCTCCTCAAGGGTCGCCATCGTTGGGCGGGGCTTTGTGGGGGCCCACCCTGCACTCACCAAGGTAAAAGACACGATGTTCAATCTTTGTGTGGACCTAACAATTTTCAGGGTGTTGTGGGATCCCCTAATTGTAGCCATGTCTGAACAAACTGGCTTCAGATGGGAGTAATAATAGGCACAAGTGTTGTTTTGAGCCATAGCCCTAATACTCAATCACAGCCATATGTTCAAGTCTTTGGTGGGCTTAGGGTTCAAATTCATGGATTGGCTAAGTAGATGAAGTAGTATTAAGCACCCCTGCGCACTGAAGGAGAGAAGGGTTGGACTCAGTGTTTGTTATTTTATACAGCTTATGGGTACTTCAGGACAAATCTCAAACTAAATTCCTAAAAGGAAATGACTTCCCCCAAATCGCTCAGAGAATTGACTGTACAAAGGGCCTTGAGTTTTGATGCTAGCAGAATAGCTGTTACTAATTTGACTGCAGTTCCAAACTCTTTCATCCTTCACCCTTTGTGGGGACTTTTTTTCAGCATCTTTTCACAGTGTATTCATCCGTCTTGGAGAACTGCAGTGATGGGCAAACAGAGGTCTTGACGTTTGTTCCCCAGTCACAACTTTGTGGTAAGAGTTGTGAATTGGACCTTGTTCCCGGCTGGAGGAAATACCCGCAAAGAGTTTGCTGGACCCTCAAAGAGAATTAGTAGACATCAGCCTGCTGTTTGATTACTCGGAGTTGATTGTTGATTTTCTTCCATCTTCTTTTTAAATTAACTAAGTCTTCTTCCCTCTCATTTCTCATCATACAAAGAGATCCGTGTTACTCTTTTGATAAGTTTTGTGTCTTAAGCATTCAGCATCTTCTGCTCTTGCAGAAAAGGAGTTCAACAGCGCAGTGACGGAGTTTAGCCAGCGTTTGCTGCGGGCTCAGACCGGCTTACTCGTACAGGCCGAGCTCATTGCCCAGCAGGGCGGAGAGCAGATGGAAAGCAACACCCCTGAGCAAACCAGGTGACAAGCTCGAGATGAGGGGGGTCGGGGACAGAGAGCAGAGCCAACGAGAGAGTGGGCGGCGAAGAAAGATGCAGACAATATTTGATGCACATGAAAGAGCATTTTTGTACTTAAATTTGCAGCAAATCGCTTCCTAGGAAGGGAACATTTTATACTATGACAACAAGCCCCATGGGCTGGTTAGATGTCCGTGAGAAGCTTTCAAAATCTTAATGGGATGCTACGTTATCGTAGGTTTTGATTGGTCCAGACAAAAACCACAGTTCGGTCTGGACAAGTTTTTGGTATGTAAGACATCAGATTAACTTTAATAACATTTGAAGGAACAGTCTTAACCCTAACAATCCTTAGTCCTCCAACAGGTAAAGGATTGAGGAGTGTGAGGGTAAAAGAGTTTTTGATTTGTAACTGTTGTCCAGTGTGGCGAACAATGCAAAGGCTTAATCAAAATTATCTCCTTTGTATACTCTCTTGATGTAACGTTCCTGACTTCATTCTTATAATATCATTGTGTAGCAAAGTACTTTGTGAATACAGGAAGTAATGTTTCAAGTCCTATTCCAGAGAAGTGCACCTACATGCACACCAAACCGTTTGCCAAGTTTTTTGAAAACCATTTCATTTCAAATACCATGATTTTCACGTGGCATGACACTGCTTTATCTTGCCTGTTTGTTCTCCTGGCATTCTTTTTTTACTTGATATGTCTGGGATGTATTGGGAATTTTATCTATGTGGAATTTTCTCTCTTTTGACTCAAAAGGTCAAAAGAACAGAATCTTTTGAGGAGTGACCATCTTTTCCAGCTAAACTGTCATCTTCAGATTAATGTTAAAGTCACGAGATGTCAAGAATACATCTTGCAGGATTTAAGTGGAACTCAGTGGTTTTACAATTGTTTTTGAAAAACTATATTTTTTTCGTAATCTGAACTGAAATACATTTACAGTATATTCAACTGTATTTTCTTTTACGATATGTAAGGTGTGAAAAGTCTTAAATTGAAAAGAAAAATATCACTGATGCAAATCCTGTCAGTAAGTGCCAAGTTAATGTGTCCGTAATTTGATTGGGTAGGTAAGGGAGCTGGAAATCGATCTTAATTCTGTTGATGTACTCGGACTCCAAAGCATGTGAGGCTTGGTCCTAATCAAGTGACTACGGCCAGAAGTCACGCATGTGTCTACAAGAAGTGGATGTAGCCATAAGCTAGTGACTTTAATTTTTTTTTGTATGGAGCTTAACTACAAGATAATTTATTTCTGATGAAGAGATTGGACATTGTAATATTCAATCTTTGTTCTATTCTGCAGCTGCTTGAAACTTTGTTTCTTTGGGTTCCATTAATAGTTGCTGTTTAGAAAAGGAATTTTTACGTTTCCTTTTTTAATATTAAAAATGCGTGGGTAGCGGGTATTGTTTATGGCGTCTTAAAAATACATGGATTCGTTCTATTAAATATGTTTGCTCTTGTCGAGTGATTTTTGCCCTATGTGCATTTTTTTCGAAGTGTAATCTTTCGGCACGCATACGATATTCATAATTAGAGGACGGTCCACTGTGGACACGCCCCTTCCCTGAGTCATCAGGTTTTCCAAACAGGGCTGCCTGCTGCTGCGGGCGTGTGGAAGCCTCATGCAGAATGGTGGGCCTGAGAAACAACGCAATGAAACCCTTTTGGAAATCAAAAGCCATGTATTAAGGCCGCTTAGCCTACCTAAAGGTAGATAAACACTGACAAAGACAAAATGACAACAGTTTGAAAAAACTGTCTGAGTGAACGATTGCCATGATCTTACAAAAGATATGCGGGCCAAAGCATAACTTCATATTCAACACGAAATGGAATTAGTCCATGTTATAGACGTTGGACACTTGGACTAGTGTACCCTGCAGCCAGTACTACCAAAACCCGGATATGCGACGTCGGACTGTACAAAACTTTTGGCTGTTACGTGTATGTCTGGTTAACCAATCATGTATGTAACCTACCACCGGAAATCTTGGCGCTAGTGGCTCTTCAACTACCATGGTCTGATATCCAGGGCCGGAAGGGGGCCGTCTGAAAAATTTCACACAGACTTGGGGCCCTCTTTTAAATTCTGTATCGAAAAGAGGGAACTTGGCACCGTCGGGTAGTGATATGCGTTAGAATTAACATACACATGCCCATCTGACTTACTCCCCACCCAACTCCAATACCGGTAGACAAACGAAAACGTCAAGTACTGGGGAAACAAAATTCAACTTGAAACCCTGCTTCAAAAGCAAGCAATCCATCTTGTCTAGTAGGGAGACACCAGACATTGATTCCATTCCTCATTCTTCCAAACACCCAACAGAATCTCGGCGAGTGGCGTCCCATGTTGAATCTGAAGGCCTTAAAACAGATATTAGACCAAAAAAGATTGAGCATAGAGATGCTATACCTACAGGTCTAAATGCTCTGCCGGTTCCAGCTTTGGCAGACGAACATCCATTCAAAATAGAGTGTGCAACACTTTTCCTTCCCGCCAAATTTATTCCAGCCATATACATGTAATTGTGTCTTCTGGGGCAAGCTGGGGCCAGTTTGGTCAGCATAGTTCCATGGTGCAGATTGTGTAAAATGGGAATGTGATCCATTCAACTCCATCTTCTCGCCCACTTTCCAAAAAACTAAATTTAGTAACTCACCACCTCAACCTACTCAAATACATCGACGCTGGTGGCTGAATCCAGCCCCCCTCAACATAGGTAAATCAACAATGACCTTAATAAACGGATGCTTCCTCTCAGGGCTGGGGAGTACATCTCGACACAGAATCAGTTGCAGGGAATTGGAACTCAGCTAGGGACCTCCATATCAATTCTAGAACTCCTGGTGTTCGGGAAAGCGCTAATCTACTTTCATCAGATGACAAAAGACTAGGCGGGGCTCCACCGTTGTCTCCTACATAAATCACTAGGGAAGAACATGGTGCCCTTTGCCTCCTGATGTGCATCACATCTTCTGATGTACATCACCAACGATCTATCATAAATGGGAATTCCCATTCCAGCAAGCTGAAACTCATTGCGCATGCTTTAACCTGGGGAGTAGTGCAGACATTTGCCGCAGGTTTGATCACCTGAACATATACATGTAGAATTTTGATCCTTTGCCGAGTATATATAGAGTGAGATACGCACTTATGGGTACTTTTCTCTGATTAGTCGTTGAGATAATCAAGAGGGAAGTACAAAGTCTCAGCCGAAGAACAAAGGGGCACGAGTATACAGGCTTTACGTGACAGCCATCTTGCAGGGCAGTTCCAGTGGGAAACCCTGTATGTGCATACCCTGTGGAACTACAGCACTGACCTGCATGATGGCAGCCATGCAAACCCTCTTCACCCCGTAAGGAGTGCTATTATGTGAACCAAGTATGACAGAACATCTGGCCCGATTTTTCATCATCCCGCGATTTGACACAAAGAGGTTTGTTGAATCTCTCAGTCTGACTGCTGTCTTAAGGATGGGAGGTAGTGGTCCTCGTGTTCTGGATGTTGTACAGGGCCTGCAATTATAGTTGGCCTTCCAAGTGGGAACCACAATCAGAATGAACCTGGGCAGGAACATCATAGTGGGAAACACACTGATCTCTAATAGCACAGTTGGAGCTGTTTGGTCCCCAGGAACGGTAAACCACGTTGAAAGAGTCAGCCATTACCAAGACCAGCTGAATTCTTCCCTCGTCAAGAAATCTAGTGCTAGACATCCATTGGCTGGAATGGCAGCACGTATCGCATTGAAGGGCAAAGTAGTGGATGGGACCTTTGCTAAAGTGTAGCGCAAGTAAGCCTGAATATGAGTGCGTACCTGATCGAGTGACCATCGACCAGCCCAAAACAACGAAATGAATGAATGAATGGATAAGACTAAGATACCATTTAGACCTGGCCTGTAGCCTCCTGGCGTGGTCAGGTTCATGAGGCAGGGGTCATCAATCTCCTTCCAAGAAAGATATGCTCCACTCGGGTTACTGTAGAGTTCTGCAATATAACTGCACCCGTCTAGGCATCATTTGCACCCACAAGCCCAGCTCACGCTGAGGGGTTCCGACTGACTTTAATTTCTCTGCGGTGCTTGTAATAATGGTCTCGATCTCCTCTGATAAAAGTGGAGACTCAGTCCGGTTGTCCAGGAGACATTTTAATGGAATGCCCCTATTTTGATGCTGCTTGTTGGGGGGGGGAGGGCGGGCCCAAAGCCTACGGCAAACTGCGGCGACACAACTTCCCCATAATCCCTACCATTTCCTTACAAGAACAATATTTGCGGGCACGAAAGAATTTTCTTCACCACACTGCCCTTTTAAGCGGAGGCTGGGTATTTCCTTAACTCGGAGGGTCTGCCAAGGGGACATGCATGATCTCCCCTGCTTCCCTCCTTTTTGTGGCATGTTTCCTCTGCATGGCATGTTTTTGGCAGTAAGCACACATTAGCGCATAGTACGACCTTTCTGATTACCGCAATCATGCTGCCCGACAAGTAGGGTCTCAATGCTAGTCACAACCTTGGATTTTTCATTCATGTGAGACAGTTGTGTGCTCAGATGAGACTGTTGTGATTAGTTCTTGCATTTTTATGTAATATCACTTCACCATACAAAGTTCCCCAAACCAAAATACGTGATTGTCTACAACGATCTACTCTTGGAATAACACTAAACAGACTCGTGTACGGCACAGTGAGATAACATAGGGGCTCCTTAAAAGTATACCTTGTTCGTTGAAAATGGCACATGCAAATCCCAACAATCCTGCCTACGATGCAATTTTTTTCCTTGCGGTGGTCTACCCGGGGATAACCGTAGCAGGGGACAGTTCCTTTTAAATGTAGACACTGGCAGACAAGTCTGATTCCGGTATTCTCTCTGGTGATTTATTTCCGTCATATAGTAGATGGATCAACAATAGAAATGTAGCCAAGGCTACCCCAAAAGATTTACAGTACATTACAAGTTGTAATGTTGTAGCTACAACTATATTAGTTAAAACCGTAAATGAGGACGGAAATTTTTCAGGAAGTCGTGTAAAACCTTTTTAAAATAATAAAACAGTTTAATTAGCTCCATTAACAAGACTCAAGCAAGTTATGCCTATTTTGCCTTTCAAAAACTTACCAGACCCCCCCAATGTTTTGGAGATGAAAACCCCCTTTAAGTTTTCCCACACACAGTGGAAGACTATTGTCTCAGCCCGGCGGAACTTGGGGTCGGCAGTCGACATCGTGGAGTTGAATAACTCACTTAATATTTAACAGAATCAGCAGAGGAAAAGGCGCTCTCACAGTAGGTGGTTTTAGAGGGTAGCTGCAAGAGAGTTGCTTAATATAAACTTCAAAATGCACCTCTGCGACTCAGCTTAGCTCATTTTTCAATTTTTCACTATTTACAAGGTTGTTTTGCTGCATTCTGGGTTTTTAAGCTGAGATTTCCATATTCATGAGCAACACCGTGAGCTAATGTTATGAGATGTAGAAACCTTGACGTTACACTTGCGCACGAAAATCCTCTTCCTTTCTTTTAGAGATTTTGCTGGCTAAATCGTCCCTTCTTTGGTGATTTATTTTTATGTTCCTGGATAAAAAGCAAACATTAAACACTTTGTCAGAAACGTTTTCACTGAATAAACTCAATTCAAATTTGAACACTGAGAAAAGCCTATCCACTGAACCAACAGCACTCTGGTCCAGTAAGGCATGAATATTTTTAATTCAGTGCATCTAAACTAAAATGTTACCGTTTTCTATATTAAATATAATAAATTACAGAAAAACTATACATATATCTACGAAAATCCACCAGCTACACTTTGAGCAAGAGACAATTTATGTCCACTGAAAGTTCCACACAAGGTTTACACTCAATCATGGGTACCTATAGACTATTACCACTGAATGTAAATACATGTACTCTTATGAATAGTGCAACTATACTTACTTATCAAGCCAGTGAAAAAGACATTTTATCTCTCAATACCAAATCATGCATTCCATCATGTTTACCCCTTTGAGATAAGAGTGAACATTCTGTCACGTAAGCCACCAGGGCACTGAGTTCCCGCCCCCGCCAGAAACATTTGGATGTTGAGAAATATCAGTGCGCAGCAAGTGAGGCGTTCTGTGCCAATAATTTCCCCAATGATTTACCAAAGACAACGGCTTTAGAACCCTCTTTAATATCCCGAACCAAATACAATATACATGTAATTGCACCCAAACAAACATTCTGGTCCCGGAAATAATCTTCGTGTATATGATATTTGTTTACATCGGCACTAAACTGGGGTCAGTGAATGAAGATGACTGTGATCGGGTCAGGTCACATACAGTCGAGCAAGAAAGATTTCGCGCCGTATGGTAGAACTCAACGAGACATTCATGCACATGTACATTGTACAGACAGCGGTGCAATGTTACAGAGAACACGTCTTCAAAACAGACACCGTTGGGTGCAGAGATCCCGAATCCCCGCATAAGACACTGACTGATAATAGCCGTTTAATAGCTAAAGAAACATGCAAATATAAGTATCGTCCCCTCGTGGACTCCTAAAACTTTTGATTTGGGGACTTCATAACGCAGACGGAATGAACGGTGAACAGCAGCCAGAAAAGGACGACCTTGGAGCCGAAAAGGATGATCGGGCCGCCGAGTTGGCGGAGGAGGGGAATGGGAGTGGCGACGAGAATAAGGAGAGGGGGAACTGGTCACACCCCTTGGATTTCGTACTGTCCTGCTTAGGGATGGCTGTGGGCCTTGGTAACTTGTGGCGATTTCCCTTTCTCTGCTACAGGAACGGGGGCGGTGAGTAGCACTAACAAATTTTGTAAGACTAAAATCTTTCAGACTCAAGCGTGTGACATGATTATCCCTCAGCCAAGGGGGCGACATTTTAGGGAACTATTGTTCTAGTACAGAACTGTGTTCTGTTTCCACTTGATGTCGCATGTATACTGACGCCACCTGTTTGTTCATAATTACATGTATAGCAGGCTTAGTTCCAGGCCATTTCACAGTATTTTTTCAAGAGGAATTATTGTCTCCAGAATCCTCCACCAGACTACTTAAGCTCCACTCCCAGTCAGTATCCGGCATTCTCCTGGTG